CTGGGCTGCCAGGCTCACCCTCTTCCTCCCAGGCAGCAGCACATACTGTAGCATTTTCCCACCACGGTGTACACTCGAGGATGCCCATCAGCAAAGCTCGCAGAGCAGGATGAAGGAGGACGGGAGCCTGCCCGCCCCCATGCTGCTCCCAAGGCCACAGCAGCATTGCCCTCTAGAGCCTCTCTGGAGCCCGTTGGCCAAGTAGCCGGAGGCATAATTGACCTGCCTAACTTAGATTTCAGTCTCCGATGGTCACAGCACTGGGGACCGTCTGACTACAGAGCAGAGTGAGAGGCGTGGGTGAACGGCCAGGTGTGCAACACACCTATTGCCTCCTGCTGTCCACCTGTTGACCTCCCAACAGGCTCTTGCTTCTCAGCAGCCAGGGGTATCAATGAAGGGGCACTGACCACACCACTTTGCTCAGCCCGGCTGGTGTGAGCCATCACCTCACTCTTGTGACAGTTCGAAATCCTCCACAATAAAGAGCAAAAACCAAACGCAGTGCCCATGAAAGAGCAGAAGCTGGCCCTCAGGAAGTCTGTGGGCCCCTGGGTCGGGGGAGAGACCAGGTCCCCCTGCTGGATTCATCAACTCCAATTTTGGCAGCTGCATCTCCTCGCCAGGGTCGCCCCAACTGTGAGACAGACCTGACTGTGGGGACACAGGAACCAGTGGCAGGGGGTTGTCAGGCTTCCCAATGGTTGCCAAAAGGGTGTGGGGTTTGTCAAACCCTAGTCAGAATGTTCTGAGGGACTTCCTGATGGCAGGTCTGTGGTGACGGCTGAGAAAGTGGAGAGCAGGCAGCAGAGAGGAGCTGTTCAGTAGAGACTGATGAAAAGTTCCAACTGATGGAGCAAGGAAGGGAGTGTGAAACTGGTTCCTGAAATGAGGGGCTCAGAGGTAAAAATTTGGTTTGTTATGACACAGGAGAGCGTGTGTGTGCGCGTGCATGTGTGTGCGTGTACACATGTGTGCATGTGTGTGCCTGTACTGAGGATGGAACCCAGGGCCTCCTGCACGCTAGGCAAGCACTTCACACCCGAGCCTGATGCAGGATTCTAAGATTCCTTAGATCATGAGTGTGGGAGCCCAGTGGTGAAAACTGTGTCCTCTGCCATCAGTAAGCCTCATGCTTTGCACACTGTGATCTTTCCGTGTGCTTTCACACACTTTCCTCCTTTGAATGTCAAAACAACCCACTAAGCTAAACTGCGGTGCGTCCACTTTCCTTAAGGGAAAGTCGAGCTGTGTTTGTCTTTGACACCTGAGCACCTTCCCTGTATGCCCACTACGGCAGGCACTACACACGTTTGTCCAGTCTTACAGGTGGGGGCACCAGGGCTAGAAAGGCTGTCAGGGCACAGACAAGGGGCATGGCCCATGTGCTGGAGCTGGACGGCTCCCTCTTGGTGCTGTCTTCACGGCCCCTGCCCCAGCAGGTCAGGCAGGAAGCCAGGGTTGTAGACATGAAAGCTGCTTCCTATTCCCCTTTACTCCTCCTCCTCCTCGCTCCCTACTCCTGCTCCTTCCTAGTGGCAACTGTGATTATTTTTACTCACTGTGGCTAAAACTAAAACCTTCTTAAACATTAATCATTCCATGATGCAAATGGAAGAAATAAATGGTGACAAAGTGGAGAACACCCCACCTTCCGGAAAGATCCCACAGAGCAATAGCAGCTATACCGTCATTCTGGGTGTGGTACCACATGCCTGTAATCCTAGCTACTTGAGAGGCAGAAACAAGGAGGATTTGGGTTCAAGGTCAGCCTGGGCAAAGTCAGTGAGACTCTATCTCAAAAACAAACCATGTGCTACTTGGAAGGGAGAGTGGGAGGCAGGCCTGGGGAAAGTTAGCATGAGACTCTCTCTGAAAGAAGAAGACAAAAAAAACTAAACGCAAAAGGTTTAGGGGCATAGCTCTGACACTGAGTTCAATTCCCAGTTGTACACACACACAAAGAAAAAAGTCAAACTTGTTTCAAAACCAGGTCAGAAGAACTGAAGCTCCATCTTCCAGCACCAAGAATATTCCATCCACTCATAGCACTGAAGACTTCTTCCACCCCACTATGACCTCTCCAGAGACCTGCCATCATGGGCTGTGTGGGATCCTGCCCTGCAAGTTGGGGTTGTCTTCATTCACCACAGGGCCATCATGAAGTGAAAGTCGTGTGACACAGACGTTTTGATGATGGTGGGGTCCTGGGCACTTCCCCAGAGGGGTGGAGCCTCCCACATGATCTGCCGCAGCTATGTCACACCTGACTGCACAGCCTGCTGAGTCTGCTTTGTCCCCAGAGCCATCATGGGTCCCTCTAGCACAACTTTGTCCCCACATCAAACCTGTGACCCCTGAGTTTCCCTGACTCTGGGATTCCTTCCTGGACAGCCGCATTGGCTCTGAAGGTCCTTCTCCAGGTGCATGTGCCTGCAGAGGGTTCTGTTGGCTGAGTGAAGCACTTATGTGTTAGATTTGGGAGTGGTCAATGGCTCTGCCCACTTCTATCCTGTGATCCCTCCCACCAGCCTACCATTTTAACATCATCCTCAGAGGACTGAGATGCTGCCTTGCCCTGCATCCAGGCTTGAATAACTCACTTCGTTTATAAAAGGGATAGCAGCAAAGGATGCCCTGTCTGTGGGGAAACAGGCCAGCAGAGCTGACCACATTCTTCCTCTATATAAAGGCCAGAAGATACAGTGCACACTGGCGACATGGTAGTGGCAAGTTAGAACTCATGTCCTTCTTTTGATGGGACATCCAGATTCACCAATATGACTTATGTTTTAAGAATGGTGCCCAATTCCTATAATCTGATAGCTGATCTATTTGGGTTTAAGCCAAGCTCTGGCGAAGTCTTGCCCCAGAGAATTCTAAATTATTAATTAACCTGATAATAAGGACAAAATTCCATCTCTTTGTGGACAAGAGGGCACAGGCTTCCAAACTCAGTGCCTTCAGCAGCACTGAGACTGGCTGAAGGGCCTGAAGTGTCTCTCCAGCATCCTTCATCTAAATGGAGAGACAGGCAGAAGCCGGGAACCAGCCAGGAAGGCATGATGGGCTCTGAAGCCCACTGCTTGTAGCAGGTGAACACCAGGTCTCAAAACACAACCAGAAACACATAACGAGAAAAGCTGCAACACTTCGTCTTCTACTGGGAATTTGCCACCAGCAGGAAGGAAATGGTCTGGATTGACAGTCTCTGCTCCTCAAGGGGCTTGGGCTGCACAGAGACCATGCCCTTGCTGACTACCCTTTACTCCCATAATGGCCTGCACAACACACACAGCACACACACCCACTTGAAATGCAGCGAGACAACTGAACGCTCCATCTGTCCTTCCTGGCTGACACCTTGTTATCATGTATGCGAGTCTAAAATGATAACATTTTCATGGAGGTGTCTGTCTGTCCCTTGAGGTACAACTGAGCCTCCTGCCCAGTGGAGGGGCAGTGGCTGGAGGGGGCCCCTGTCCTCACATAGGAAACACGTCCTCTGTGTCAGAGAAAATGATGCTAAGGACACTGGTGGCCTGCTGTGGGGAACAGGTTGTACAGGCATTCACACACACACACACACACACACACACACACACACACACGGCACACAAGATACAACACACACCCAGCAATGTGTCCCAGGGAAGGGAGAACCCTGCACTCAGGATACTGACAATTTATAATAAGTGACACCCTTACTATGGTTCACTTCCCTGAGCCACCCATCAGCATCTCTCCTTTGCTCCCCTGCATAGCTGCAACCCCCCACGGAGTGTTTTATTAGGCACCTCTATGCAACCCCACACACAGCAGGAGACAGATGCCCCAACGTCCACCAGAAGCTTGTCCTAAGACAGGGAGCATGAGGACAAGAAGGTGTGTCGTGTCGTCTGAGCAAAGGTCTAGAGGAGGACTGCAGAGAAAATGGGACAGTGTTGGGGATAAACTTGAAGTTGTGGCTGCACAAGGCTCATCTGAAAGCATAAGTACGATTGTCAGGGTTCAAAAGATCTTAAGTATTAATTTGACTTTGGTAATGGTCTGTGGTTTGAGCTCAAAAGATAACTTTTCCCTACTATGGCATGCAACTATTTTTCACTGATGAGATTTGGGATCTCCAGTGTGGCAACAACCCAACTTGCAGCAGACTGAGTCTGTTGGGAGCTGAATACAGACCAAGGTCTGAGTCAGTCTTAGGGGAGATGGGTGCCTGTTTTAATAAGCAGCTCCTCCCCTGCAGACAGCTGGGCAGGTGCAATACATAGGCTTTCTGTCTAATGAAGGTGTCCTGTGCAGGTGTGCACACATGCACCTGTACACACACGCTCGCACACACATACTCCGCTTTGAAACGTCACTTGAAGACATAGCAGTTTCTCACAAAGCTGGTGAGGGGCACAGCCACTAGCACCAGGGCCTGAGAGATGGCTGACCATTGTGCCTCTCTGGGTACATGGGCTTAAAGTTTCTCCCTTGTTAGGTTCGGATCACAGCAGGAGCGGCGAAGGAACACTGTGCTGCCATGAGGAATATTTTTCCTCTGAAGGGAGATTCGCATCCTGCTCTTCATGCTATTTGATGTGAAAGAGAGGAGGCCTTTGGAGTTTTAACAGCAGGGAGCCAGCACAGAGCTTAGCATTCCTGGCCCTTGCTGGCCCTCATCGGGGCAGGGTCTTGCTACTTCACTCCTCCTGAGCAGCAGGAGAACCTGCCTGCGGGCCCACTGTCAAGAGCAGAGAGGCGGGAAGCGCATTACCCGCTGTGGATTGGTTACTCACTTCAGAGCACTGCCCTGGAGCTGGACCAAGTTCAGAAGCCCCAGGTAAGCGCTGGCGGCAGGGCTGCCTCCCACACCTCAGATTCCTCAGCACCGCTGCACAGTGTTCTCAGTTAAAGACATTTAAAAATAAAAGCATCTCCCCACTTGAGTGAAGCCTGCCTCCCCCAGGGTCTCAGGGCACCAGGAGATAAAAACCGGAGCTTCTACTCACTTGCTCCCCGTCACAATGTACCCGTGCTGCGACTCCTCAGAAGATTTGACTTCCAGTTGCAGGCCTTCGGGGGGTCCCCGTGCTGCTGCCAGGGGGCCCTGCTCCTCCTGCCAAGGCCCTGGAGCCCAGTTCTGGAGTTCGACCCCAAGCCTGTGGGCCCTGGCGTCCAAGTTCAGCTTCTTCTCTGACAGGTCTTTGGAGTAAGTCTGGCTCCTCACATTTTCCACACCAGCAGTCTCCTCTTCCGAAGACAAGGAAGACTCGGGCTCTTCTGACTTCTTGATCTCTGTTTTGAAGGACTTTTCCAGAAAAGGGACTTCAGAGAAGAGTGGGGACCCGCGGTCCTGCAAGAGGTCCCCAAGCTGGACACTCAGGCGACTGACCTGGCAGAAAGGAAATTCCCGTGAGATGCTGGCTATGAGAACGGTTGTTGGCTTATAGGACGGAAGGAGTGTTGCTGTGGGATAGTGATAGTCTGAGCGCTTGAAGAAAAGCCTTTACTGTCTGTCTGTGTTTAGAGTCACATCAGGGGGGAATGCCAACCCAGTGGAGGATGAAGGCTTTGTATGTCCGAATCCACCCCCATACACACACCTTTCTGAAGAATCTGACTTTGTATTCAGTGTAGGTCTCTGGCATCTATATTTTTAAAAAATAACCTGTGTGATAGCAAAAGCCTCTAGAAGCATGGAGCACCCGATTGTAACAATAAATAATAATAATTACAGTGGGGGCGGGAGGAGAAATGACCCAAACAATGTATGCACATGTGAGTAAATGAATAAAACAATAATAATTAGGCAGAGAAAGAAACAGTAGCAGATTTTATATTCATAAACTCAGTCCTCATAAAAACCCTAGGAGTTGGGATCCTTCAAAATCCTGTTTCACAGATGGGAATCTTGAGGCAGAACAGTTAACCCAGGGCAAGGATGACACGGGGACCTGTGCTTGCCCTCTCATGACACTGAGGAACACTTGGTCACTTTGGGGTGACACTTGTCCGATCTAATCCTACCTCCCAGACAGCAGGTTCCTCAGGCCCACCTGCCCAGCACCCCACCCAACCGGTGTTGTAATCATGGCCCTCAACACTGACTATGTGTCTGACATTCACTTGCTTAGTGCAAACCACCTCACTTAATTCTTACCCCATGGACGAAGTGCTGGTCTGGCCTCTCATTTGTGGATTCTGAGCCTTATAGCAGTTAGATATTAAATACTTTTACAAAGTCACAGAGGTGGGGGGAGAAATGAACCAAGCCTTGTATGCACATATGAATAATAAAAGAAAAATGAAAAAAAAAACCAACAAAGTCACAGCGGTAGCGATTGGCAGATCAGGGATTGGAACTCAGGCCTAACTGAGTTTTACCAGCAGGATGAGGCCTATCAGGGTTGCCCCTGGTGTGTATGATGCCCGAGTCCCCCATGGTTCCAGTAGGGTGCTTTATCCATGAAATCTTATCTCTAAGGTTACACTAGACAACAGGAGAACTGGATTGACTCTACAACTCATTCTATCAAAACATGTTCATTTAGGAAACTGAGAAAGGGTTATAAAGAAAATCATCCTGTTTTTGACTAAAACTCATTTGCAGCCTTTCTTCTTGTGCTTTTGAATATTTAAACAAAATAGTAACTTAATGGGGACATTTGCTCAAATATGGATTCTGAATGAAAACAGTGTACTGTGTTCAAGTTACCCAATGGGCCCAGGACATGTCCTGGGGTTTTTCAGGAAAGGGGACAAGGCTCTCTCAGATGGTGTCTCAATGAGCAAAACAAGGAAGGTGCTGATGAACAAGAGCTCAGGACACACAGCACTCAAACACCTTTTTAAAAACTGCCTGACAATGTATCCCAAGCCACAGAGAAGTGAGTCAATTCTCAGCATGAGGAGAGTGACAAGGCCACGGGGAACAGTCTGGTACCTCCACTGGTGGCAGACGAAGGGCCCTACTACATGGGGAGCACAGGCCCAAGCTTGTGCCCTGGCCACTGCCACTTCCTCCCCTCTCCCCAAATCCAGAAACTGTCTCCTGACCCCCTCAGGTGGGTGTCCCACCATTGCTGGGCTTAAAATTCCTGATGTATTATTCTTTTCTTGTAAGAGCCACTAAGTCGCAAACCACTAAGATAATCTGACAGGAGAATAACTCACCAAAGATTCTTTTTTCTCCACTCAAAAAAAGTTTCATAGAATCATATAACACCATTGTCACTGCATATGAGCTGATTTTCTGTATTCTTAAGACCAACACTAATGACCACAGTTTCTTTTTTTTTTAAGTTAAACACTTTTTTATTTTTTTTTAATTTTTATTGTTTTATTATTCATATGTGCATACAATGCTTGGGTCATTTCTCCTCCCTGCCCCCACCCCCTCCCTTACCACCCACTCCGCCCCCTCCCTCTCCCCCCCACCCCCTCACTACCCAGCAGAAACTATTTTGCCCTTATCTCTAGTTTTGTTGAAGACAGAGTATAAGCAATAATAGGAAGGAACAAGGGGTTTTGCTGGTTGAGATAAGGATAGCTATACAGGGAGTTGACTCACATTGATTTCCTGTGCGTGTGTTACCTTCTAGGTTAATTCTTTTTGATCTCACCTTTTCTCTAGTTCCTGGTCCCCTTCTCCTATTGGCCTCAGTTGCTTTAAGGTATATGCTTTAGTTTCTCTGCGTTAAGGGCAACAAATGTTAGCTAATTTTTTAGGTGTCTTACCTATCCTCACCCCTCCCTTGTGTGCTCTTACTTTTATCATGTGCCCAAACTCCAATCCCATTGTTGTGTTTGACCTTGATCTAATGTCCACATATGAGGGAGAACATATGATTTTTGGTCTTTTGGGCCAGGCTAACCTCACTCAGAATGATGTTCTCTAATTCCACCCATTTACCAGCGAATGATAACATTTCGTTCTTCTTCGTGGCTGCATAAAATTCCATTGTGTATAGATACCGCATTTTCTTAATCCATTCGTCAGTGGTGGGGCATCTTGGCTGTTTCCATAACTTGGCTATTGTGAATAGTGCTGCAATAAACATGGGTGTGCAGGTGCCTCTGGAGTAACAGTCTTTTGGGTATATCCCCAAGAGTGGTATTGCTGGATCAAATGGTAGATCAATGTTTAGCTTTTTAAGCAGCCTCCAAATTTTTTTCCAGAGTGGTTGTACTAGTTTACATTCCCACCAGCAGTGTAAGAGGGTTCCTTTTTCCCCGCATCCTCGCCAACACCTGTTGTTGGTGGTGTTGCTGATGATGGCTATTCTAACAGGGGTGAGGTGGAATCTTAGTGACCACAGGTTCTTAAATAGGAAACACTAACAAACTAGCGCAGGTAATGGAGGCTGATATGCACGGGAAGGTCCCCTCCTCTGCAGTGTGTGCAGCTGCACACTGACCACGGCCATGGTCACACGTGTTGACAAGCCCCACAAGTGGCCAGGGTGCTGAGAACCGCCTGTTTACTTAACCTTAATTCATCCTCCATGTGGCCAGGGCCCATCCAAGTAAACCTTGGAAGCTGCATGACATGTCAGGTTAGGGACAGTCACTGTCCCCCAGGTGCAGAAGTTCTGAGAATATTAATTTTCTTTGTACTAACCATATTTTTCATGTTTCTATATAATGGATAAATATTACTTTATAATCTGAAAATAGGTATCAGCACATCACATATGTAGGTATACACAATTTTGTGTGTGCTCTGTATACTTTTCTCTGTTTGGGGATTGTGAAGTGTTTTTCCCAGACTTTTATAGGGAATAAACTTTGCACTTCATAAATTTCTGAACCTTGAATAAAAAGAGTACAGCATGACTCTGGGTTTAGGGTAAACCAGGCTTTCAAGGATGGTTGCCTTACCTCTTCGTACACGGGGTCATCCTCCTCATGCACTCTGTGATCTGTAAGAGACAGGAGCGTCAAGTACATCCCACCAAAATGACATCACAAGGTGTCACCATGTGTGACAAGGTGTCTACACAGAACCTTTCTGGAAGAGATGAGGTGTGATGGCATTGGCTGCATTCTACCCAGAGCAAACCTTCTCTGCAGCACAGCTGTGGGAGAGAAGGGGGTTGACCAGCTATACCCCAGGCCTTGTGGCTTTCATGACTGCGTCTCTTAGCTCCACAGACCTGTGGGTCATCTTGACATTTGCCACAGCACAAAGGCCCCCTGTGCTTCGCCACAGTTGATAGTTACCAGCGTGAACAGTGAAGCATCTCACCCAAACTGCTTAGGATGCAGGTAGCTGAGGCATCACTGACTCAGTTTCCTGACTCTGACCGACCTCTCTAAGTGAATACCCTGCCCACAACACATGAGGGTGTATGACTCACGCACATTCCTTAAGTCACACGTGGGGACCCTCCAGACCCTCCTGTGCCTATGACTCCTTCCAGCACAGGGGTCGTCCACTACAGTGTCTTGCCATGGTGGAGGCCCCCATGTCCTCTCCTGCAAGCCACATCAAGCTTCCTGCTTCCAGCAAGCCTGTTCCAACTCCCACAATAGAGAGGGGTGAGCCTTTCAGCAGGTTTTCAGCATGTTCTTGTGTACCCACTATGGGCCAGGCATTGAGTTGGTAGCTTCAGGGGAGGCTCGCCGCCTGCCTGAGTGGTCTCTGGGGTCCTGGCTGACTGTGGGTGAGGCCAGGGCAGGGTGGTGTCTGCCGCCTCCAGCAGCCTCAGAGGGTGCAGAAAGCCAAGTAAATCCCTTTCACTTTGTTATTCAAATATCTGACAATATAACTCACACAATCCAAATAAAAACACTTTCCATTGCTCCCACCCACCTTTTCTTCTAATTCTGAACCTCAGCATGGAGGAATTAAGCCTCTTCATAGAGAGCAGTGTGCCATTCAACATCATTTCTCTGATAGGTTTACTCACTAAGAAAGCTTTTAGAAGCAAAAGTTCAGATAATAATCATTAATACAAACCCATCTCCCCAGCAGAAAGAATGCATTCAAGCCTGGTGAAAACAGGCTCTCCCCTCCCCGTGCCCACCCGGATGCAAAGGACTGAGGAACTGAGGTCACCTTGGAGTGCTGTCTCCAGGCCTTCCATGTGTTCCTGTGACTGTCCCTCAGGCCCTCTCCCGTGGCTGTCCTGGCCTCCCTCTGGACGCTTGCCTTGCATGGCCTCAGCAATCATGTCTGTCATCTGGTCCAGCTGCTGAGGGCCCAGGCGCTCCCCTTCAGCCTGCTGCTTCCACAGGTCCTTCACGAGACTCCGAAGGAGTATGTCTAGGGGACATAGAGACATGCTGAGACATGAGAGCAGTCTGACTGTAAGAACACCAAGGCAGCCCAGTCTTTCCAAGTAACTCCCCAGCAATGCCAGGGCTAGGTGGCATCTAAGAAATATCTGCCAAGCAGAACCTGAAGTCACACGTAACCCTCTGGCCATCACCATACTTCAGTGTCTGAAAGGTTTAGCAGGAAGTGGAAAACCCGCAGACAAGAAGGACTTGGTGACTATAGCTGCAGTGACAGCAGCAATTTGGCCACGGGGCAAGAGGTTGAGCACGTCAGCCAGTGCGCCGGCTGCAAACCAACGGTGAGAAGCTGTTTCCCTCTCGTCCGGGAGACAGAGAGCCACCCACATAGGCGCCGCTTCTGCCTGGCTTTGCCTCTGGGCAGCTTCTGGACCACAGTGTGAGGCATAGGCCGGCAACCCCCACCAAGCCGAATACTCATGGAGGGAGCTGTGCAGCCATTACTGGGTGGACAGCCAGTGATGGTGCCTGCTGTGGCAGAGCAGAGGCAGATGGCACATGTGGGGAGATGACACAAGTCCTCACTGCCACCTTCAGAGACCTGGTAGGACCTCGCTTAGCAGGTCACTGAAGACACACAGGACATATCCCACGAAGGGCCACTAAGATAGAAAATACTCATATCATCCAAATAGCCTACAAGGATCGTCAGCAATTTAGCTGCTGGTGGAATGTGGTGAAGGAAGGGGGCCTGACCCAGTACCTGACACACATCCCACACACGTAAAGTGGCAGGCAAGAGAAGAAGCCAAAATGTGACCCAAACCAGGAAAAAGAATGAGGCTGAGGATACACCAGGGCTGTTAGACACACGGGCATGAGGGAGTGTCTGGCGACCTCAACAGACTCCGATGGAAATGCTGCAGACCAAGCGCACAAGGTCGACAGCAGAAGAGCGGGCTGGGATCTGAAGACAGAAGCAGAAATCACGCTTACTGGAGAGCAGAATGGAAGACCACACAAAACCTCAGCAACCTGCAGACTCTGTCAGTGTCACACAGGCCGTGCAGAGGCTGTGGCCCAGGGGAAGGAGAGACTGGGGCCCTCTAAGACAGTCCACCAACAACCCACATGTGGTGAAGTCGAGGCACTCAGAGAGTTCCAAGAACAAACACAAAGAGCTGCCCAACACTGCCATGTGATCAGTTGGTCTGCTGAAAACATAGGCACAAGAAGGCCCGCCATGAGGGGACAGTACTGAGACAGTGCTGGCTTCTTAAAGGACACGGTTATGACATGGGTATCACATGAGAATGACATAATTGACATGCCTAAGTTTATATTTGATATTGTGCATATATGTGACATGTTTGAAGCGTTAAAGGAAAATGTTCCACCCAGAAGTCTGTAGCCAGTGAACACAGCCTTCAGATAAAGACGCGAGAGGAAGGCATCTTCATATCCTTCCCATGAAACAAACGCTAAGTCGCTCCATAGACCTGCACCTGGAGACACGTGACAGGGAGATAGCCCCAGCGTGGGTGTGTGGTGGGCTCTGGAGGGAAACAGAAAGCCCACCTTCCTTTTCTCTCTTTTTCTCTAAAAGATACAGACAGTGAAGTCTGAAAAACATCTGAGACTGAGACTGTGCAGACACAGAACGAGGAGATGGGACCTGGAGCATTTCTCCTTTTCTGTGACTAGGCCAGGAAGCTGTGTTCAACGTGGGCACCCAGAGAAAGACAAATCTTTTAAAAAAAATGATGATGGAGCAAAATATTCTCACAAACACCTTTACTCATGGCATATTAAAAAAAAAACTCCTACAATAACATTCAATAATAGAAAGAAAAACACTCCAATAAAAATGCAAAGAGTTGAACAGAAACTCACAAATGACACTACAAATGGCTGAAAAGCTCATGAAAAAGTGCTCAGGTGCTGGTTTGCACCAGGAGGCTTCTTAATGCCACAGCAGACAGGCAGAACAAGTGTGGAGAGGACGTGGAGAAACAGGGGCCTGCAGACTGGTGGGGACAGGAAATTGTACCACTCTTGGGACTGAAACCTGCAATTATGCATAAAGGTAACCACATGTGTGCCTCATTATCCGGGAATCATGCCCGTAGATATTGCTCTGGAAAAGTGGAACCTGTGTCCACAAAAGACTTGCACAAGAGTTTGAGCAGTGCTATGCATAATAGCTAAAAAACAAACAAACCCTCAAAAGCCACCCCCAGGAAAAGGGAGGGAACAAACTGGGGGTGTCACTCAGCAGTGGAGAAGAAGGAGACTGTCACAGGCAGAAATGTGACAGCCGAAGAGGTTACACTGAGTGAGAGGGGCCCGTCTCCAGGAGCTCACAGGACTCTGTAGCTTCAGCACAGCAATGGTCAGGCCTTCTGCTCGGTGGGGATGGTGATGGGACACTGTGTGGAGCTAGGCTTGGTCTCCTGGGCACACGTATCAAAACTCATCCCAGTGTACACGCACAATTTTTGCATCTTGCTATGCACAAATTCCACCTCAACAACAGTAAGAAAGAACAAATTCCATGTAATTTCCACATTGTTTCTCCTCTTTGAAGAAAACCTGGCTTTCTCTCTCTCTCTCTCTCTCTCTCTCTCTCTCTCGATACTATTGAGTTTGAACTCAGGGCTTCGCACTTGCTAGGCAGGCGTTCTACAGCTTGAGCCATGCCTCCAACACTTTTTGCTCTGGGTCTTGCTTTTTGCCCTGGCTGGCTGGACTGCAATCCTTCTGGGATGACAGGTATGCCAAACCACTCCCACTTTTTTTTCCATTTAGATGAAGGTCTTGCTAACATTTCCCTTAGGCTGGCCCAGAACCATGATTGTCCCAATTTTTGCCTTCTGAGTAGCTAGGATTATAGGTATGAGTCCCCAGTGCCTGACTCTGGTTTTCTTCTTGTGTATGTTTAATGCTAAAATTTCTCAATCCCAAAGCTTATGGAAGACATATTAGCATCAGAACTCACCTTCCTGAAGAACACTGTGTATTCTTTTTCTTCCTGAAGCACTGTGTGCAGGGCGGCACACAGGGATGGAGTAGTCCCTGTACCTTAGTGGATCTCAGAGCAATTCTTGGGATTAGATGATATGGGAAACACTTTCTGCTTCCTACAAATCAAGAGATTGGGGCTTTTTCTGTTTCCCAGACTTTTCTTTTGGAGCAAGAGCTGCACACTTCTGTGGGCAACAGGCAGGAGAGAGCTTTGGACATGAAAATCACCAGTTACAAGCAGATGGCTCTTCTTGGTAAACCTGCAGCACACAGAACGCACATGCCATGCTGGGAAGACATTTTCACCGTTAGCTAGACTCTGGAAACAGCTCTGCCCAATGCACACAGGCTGGGCACACAGAGGAGGCCGTGAGCCCAAGTGTCTCAGTGCCTTCTGTGCCTGTCCTCTTGTCTCTGGATGGGTGTTGACACAGCAGGATAACCTGTCTGGTCAACCAGCCTGGTTCACAGCAGAGAACAGCCAGGAGATGGTGTTCTGGGTCATTTAGACCATTCACACTTTTGAAAGATGGGCATTTCAAGCCCTTGCAGCAAGGCCCAAGGAAAAAGCAGGTACAGCGAGTGCTACCTTTTAGCTGAGACTCTGTCTTTAGGGACCCGTGTGTTGTCACAAGGAAATGTCTAAGAGTGTTGGGCTTCCATCTCTGAGCACTTCGCCATGCCCAGCTGCCCCTCATTGACCTCCTGCAAGGAAGGGTGACTGGTTGTCCTTAGTGAAAAGATGCCGTCAGCCTCCGGGGGCACTTCCTGCCGATGGCCTGCTGAGTTTGAACGTTTCAGTAACACCCAGTGATGTATCTGAAACACAGCTTCACATGGAGCTCAGTCTGACGCAGGGGACGGTGTCCTTTAAAGCAAGTCTGCCCTGTTAGGATTCAGCAGCCTCTCTGACTGGGAGGGGTGGGTCCCCCACACCCGCCTTTGTTCCCAGGTGAGTAGCCGAGCTGTGCCCTGAGACACAGACACCCACATGGTGGTCACTTCCTTCTTTGCCTTTTCAGAGCTGGGGGCAGCAACGAGTTCTGACCACCGAGCCCACCAGTTTCTAGCAGCAGTCCTCGCCAAGTGTTTGCCGAATGGACACTTGCCTTAAAAATAACCGGTTGCAGTGGACTTGAACCAAAGTACAGCTGAGCCTCCTCCCAAGCTGCCTCTCTTCTGTGCAGTGATGGGCTGGAGGTTTGAACAGCCCACACATGCAGCCTGAGCACCCTGCTCCCTCCAGGCTGACAGGCAGCACAGGTGGCTCATGGGAAAGGCAGAGGCCATGTTCAGAACTGAAGGTGTGGATGTGTCTCAGACATTGTTGCTGTTTCAAAAACCGCACTCCTCAAGTGGTTTTAGAATCCGAAGTACCCTTCTCAGACCCAAACCACATGTGGACAATAGCTGAGAGTGGGCTTTTCATCTTCACTGTGTTACAATCTCCCACCTAAACCCTTTTTTTCTCTGGTGCTCATCACCGCACAGGGTCTTATCTCATGCGTCCACTGCCACAGGTCCAGAGCACTCAGCCTCAAAGAAAATGGAAATTGGGAGGAGTGAAGGGAGGCAAGAACTGCACTCGAGAAGAGGGTCCCAGATGGCCACCAACACAGTCCGCCCCCCAGAAGGGCCTCCACTGCATCCTGCAAATCCCAGACACCGCCATCGTCCTCCCTCTGTTGAGCACCAAACAGCCCCAAATAAATGACATGGGGTCACCCTCAAGGTCAAACCAGAGACAGCAAGTGCAGCCAAAGGAAATACAGGAGAAGCATCCCTCTGCATGGCCATTGCTGTCCCCAGACCCTGTCCCTGGTGGTGGAATGGCAAGGATAGGCTGTCCTTAGGCAAAACAGAGGGCCATCCTGTTGTACAAGAACCAGCTGGGCCCAGCACTGTGGTGGGTGCCAAACCCAACATACGAATTCCATCCAAGGGAAACAGACAGAAGACACAGGGGCCTCTTAAAGGAAAACACTTGATGTGGAGCACTGACCA